GAGAGCGCCCTCTAGCGGCTACAGTAAAACTATGCCCATGGTTCGTTTTGTAGTACCAAAAACCCTTGTATACCAATTTTCACTGTTATACATCAAATATTGTTCGAAATATTTAAAAAAAACTATTTTAAAAAGTAAATTTAAACACCCTGTATTTCGGAAGCCACGCATTTTTCGACCCATGTTTATATAGACTTTATGCATTAATTTTAAAAGTTCTATCGAATCTTAAAGTTATGCAACAATAAACTGAAACACCCTGTATAATATGAACATATACAAAGAAAAGAAAAGAACAAGATATCGTTCAGCAAAATGAATTTATCACTCAATGTGCTGAGTCCAGAAAGTGCAACTTGACTGTCTTCTTGAAGCGCTGCAAACTTAAGCTCTTAGAGATAGCTGGTAAACAATTGTATACCTTGACCGCATTATAAGTAAAAAACCTTTCAAAGACCGACGTACGATGTAGGTATATGAATGGAAAGTGGATCCTTGTGCCGCAGTAATTTGGTTTCCACAAATAGACTGGTTTACCAGTTTTAAAAATACTATGCACCAATGAAGCCATAGAATAGTTGTATAAGCCGTCAACTCTGAGCCACTGTAACTCCTTGTTTTTTGAAGAAACGCTACTGTACTTCCTAAGCCCAAATATGAATCTGCAACAGTTGTTCTAAAGCTTCTGCAATTTTGACTTGCAAGCTGAGTCTAGGCATGGGTAATTGAGGACTAGAGAGTAAGCTAAAATTGATAATATGAGGCTTTCACACAACTTTTTACGGCACTTAAAGTTTAGAATATGGCGACTAGAATATAAAAGCTTCATCTTCATATAACTCGACTTCATAATATTATTCACATGTAAGTTAAATCGAAGATTTGAATCAAATATGATAATAAAATGAACTGTGCGAGTTACACTAGACTTTATAGCTGACACTATTTCGTCTAAGTCGGCAAATAAACGCCTATTTTATCATTTCCCCGTCTTCATCACGTTTTTTCTTTTGTGTAATTATCTGGGACACCAGGTATGATGCTTCAGTTGCAGCCTTACTTTTGTTTGAGTCCATTCTTTAAATTTGAAACAGTGAATTTTCAGCTCGTAGTAACGGGTTGTCCAATAGGGACGCAGGAAAGTAAACGTCAATTTGACATAGACGCCAGCTTTGTTTTCTGTCACCGACATGTCATTTTGTTAGTTGAATGTCTACCATTGATCGCTATGGAGTCTTATTCGATTGAAGACCGCATTAAAGTTATTCAAGAGCAGTACAAAAATGGTGCAAAAAAACACGTTTCGCGCGCTTCGTGAACATTTCGGTCGCAACAACCGCCTAAACGAAACAGCCATCGGTCGTCTGGTGCGTAAATTCGAGGCAACAGGTTCTGTGGCAAATCTGCCAGGCTCTGGCCGGCCAAGGAGCGTTCGCACACCGGAAAATATTGCTGTTGTGAAGGAGAGTGTGAGAGACGATCCGAAACAATCAACAACGCGTCGAACCCAAGAATTGGGCATTTCGAGAACCAGTTTGCTCCGTATTCTCCACAAGGATTTGAATGTACACGCGTAAAAGATCCAATTGACGCAAGACCTGCGTCGGGCCGACCATTTTTCGCGCCGAACGTTCTCAGATTGGCTCCTTGAACATCGCCAAATTGATGCCAATTTTTCATCAAAAATCATGTTCAGCGACGAAGCGCATTTCACTTTGAATGGGACGGTAAACAAGCAAAACTGCCGCATCTGGGCGAACGAAAATCCCCGTGAGTATCAAGAACAGCCGATGCATCCTCAAAAAGTGACTGTGTGGTGTGCATTGTGGTCAAAAGGCATCATCGGAACTTACTTTTTCGAAAATGCGGCCGGAGACGCCGTTACCGTCAATTCTGAGCGATATCACGTGATGATAGAGGACTACTTTTTGCCGCAACTTGAAGGAATGGATATGGACGATGTTTATTTCCAACAAGACGCTGCAACATGCCACACAACCAACGTCAATATCCATCGATTGCAGTCTTTCTTTGATTGCGCGCAGAGGAAATGTGCCATGGCCACCAAGATCGTGCGATTTGACTCCCTTGGACTTCTTTTTATGGGGATATTCGAAAAGCAAAGTCTACGTCAACAAACCAGCCACCCTCCAAGAACTCAAAAACAACATCATTGCCGAGATAAATGCCATAGAACCGACCATGTTGCAAAATGTCATTGAAAATTTCGACCATCGCGTGGACGTCTGTAAATCCAGTCGTGATGAACATTTGAGCGATATTATTTTTCATAAATAATGGTATAATATCAATCTTTCTTGTGTTAATATGCGTTTGCTTTCCTACGTCCGTTTTGGACAGCCCCATATAAGACCGTCCTTTAAACCCCGCAACAAATCCAACGCTTTTTTTTCAGAGGCAGCAGCCGCCCGAATAATCGTTAACGTCCAGTCAGCATATAACGAAAACGTTAAGACTTTTTATTTGTGGGACCGAGGAGTAGGTATGGGACCCGTCCTAGGGAATTTCGTATGCATACGCCATTAAGAAGAAGAAGGGTCCGAACTGCGGAGTACGAGAGCAGCTCTTGAAAAAAGTTAATAACTTTTAAGGTGCATCTCACCGAAAAGATCATCATTCATAGCAGCCCGGCCATCGCCCCGCCCATTCTGTTTCAGCATCGGGCCCAAGAGAATTTGATTGCGTCCGCGGTTACCTTGGGAAATTAAATGAGAAAAATTAACATTTTTTCTTAGCGCTGCGCCGGCATATGCTAGGCTTTTTATGGCCGCGTAATAAAAATACCGCAATTTGGCCGTTTTGCGGTCACAGCGAAGCTTCCATAGAGCACGGTGCCCCTTCCTGGCATTTAGTGCTTCACCGGACACCGTTAACCGTTAACAAATAATAATAATAAACGTCTTTTTTATTTGTAATAGTATTACAGGAGGCGAGATTAAGTACTAAGGGTGGATTGCACCAGGATTGTCAAATCGACAGTTATTCTCCACCAATAGGGTAACAGTCCGTCAAATACAGCGAATGAGCTTTCAAGTTCGAATCAACAAATTTTAGCAACCAATAGCTATGAAATGTTGAAAAAAAGAAAAAAGTACTCACTCTCCAGTTGACGAGAAGGGCTAAGTACGTCTCTGCCCGAAATCATACCGCTCCAACAGAAAATGAAATCAGCTGATGCGCTACCGAGCAGACGCAGGCGGTGGTGCAGACCACGAACAGAGGTAAAAAATATGACGGCGTTGCCGCGTTATCAGTTTTTAGGTAAACGTACTTTATAGGTATTGTTCGAAGTTATCGCCGTTTGATTCAAAAACACAGGTGCGTGCACGACGTAGCCAAGCATCGGTGCAGGCTTTGAGAATGGAGTCCCTCCACCGAATGAAAGCACCAACTTGTTCAATTCTGAGACGAAGTCCGTCAACCGTATGCACTTCAGTTTTGTACACTAAGCGTTTCATTTCTCCCCAAAGAAAAAAATCACATGGTGTTAAGTCTGGAGATCGCGGAGGCCACGGTACGGGTCCATTACGTCCGATCCACCTATTCGGAAATAATTCATTCAAAAACTCACGCACTTCGCGTCTAAAATGGGGCGGTGCACCATCGTGCAGAAACCACATTGATTGTCTTACACTTAATGGCACATCTTCTAACAAGGAAGGCAAAATGTTGCGTAAAAAGTCTAGGTATTGCATCCCGTCCAATCGATTTGGGAGAATAAATGGTACAATGAGCATACCGTTTACCATGCCAGCCCAAACATTCACCGAAAATGTTTATTGAAAATGTGCCCGACGGACAGCGTACGGATTTTCTACTGACCAAACATGAGTGTTGCGAAAGTTATTCTCCCCATTACGCGTGCACGTAGATTCGTCTGTCACCAATATGTAAGCTTAAGAACGCGATCTTGTCAACAGAATCATAAGATTCGCGAATATTGGGATGCCACTTACTCCTAAGATTATTCGTAGACAAGCATTCATCTTTTGCGAAAATGAACTTAAACATAATTTTAATAAAAACATTGGCATTGCTGGCAAAGACTGGCTAAATATGTTTTTGAAGCGACATCCAGAAATTTCAAAACGAAAGGCACAGTTCATGAATCCAGCCAGGGCGCAAAAGGTGAACAGACCAATCGTAAGTCACCACTTTGAAGAAGTTAAGAAATTATATGACGAACTTGATATAGCAACGCATCCAAAAAAACGTTGCAATATATATGAAAATGGATGCCAGTTGACTGTTCATAATCAACAGACTGTTTTAGCACAAAAAGGAGCTCGACGAGTTCATCTAATCGCGCCAGAGCATGCTCAAAATGTAACGATCGCTGTGTGTGCCAATGCTGTCGGGATCGCTATTCCGCCAATGATAATATTTAAAGGGCAGAGGCAGAAACCTGAATTTAGTGACAATTTACCGGCCGGCAGTTTCGTAAACATGTCACCGAAAGGAAGTATGACAACCGAATTATTTGTTGAGTTCATCAAACATTTGGCAAAATATAAGGTTCAAGGAAAAATTTTATTAATTTTCGATGGAGCGACATCCCATTTAGATTATACGATTGCTGAGGAAGCAGACCGTCATGACATAGTCGTATATTGCCTCCCAAGTAACACAACTCATGAGCTACAGCCCCTCGGTAAATCCGTTAATAAATCCTTTGATCAATATTGGGATCAGGAGGTTCTGAATTACATGTACCAAAATCCGGAAAGACGCATAACGAAAACCAGTTTTAATGCAATTTTCACAAGGGTCTGGTCACAATGTTTGACCCATGAAAATATAGTAGACGGTTTTCGGGCTACAGGCCTATACCCTTTCAATCCGGACATATTAGATACTTGACGAGGCATATATTCCATCTATCTTAACAGAACTCGGTGCTGCAGCCGGTTCCGATATAGATTGTGTCAATCAGCCAGAATAACAGCCTCAGAAAAATGGCGATTCTCTATTTCTTTTAGAGCAACCTCCACATTCCCCTGAAAAAAGTTCTGCCCAAAGCGCCATAGATCCGCATGCCTTGACGGTTAATACTAATCAACAACATAAAGACATCATCCACTCATCTGAAAAGATCTTGATTAATGTAGAAACAACACCTAAGAAGATACAGATCATTAGTAGAAACTTTGTCACTATGATGTGATCACCACAACCTTCCACTTCAAGACATCACAGGATTTATAGTTCCGAATCCGAGACAGATAATGAAACGACTATTGTACAGCAGAGAACAAAACTGGCATCAAACAAATCTTCACAGCCCATGGATAATATATATATTGTTCTAAAGGAAAAGTCGAAGACAGCGATAGTTTCAGTTCTGATGACAACATACCTTTAGCTAACTTCAAAGCTAAGAAATTTAGGTCTCCTTTTCAAGAGCTATTCCCAACTCCGAACTATGCTGTAACAAAAAATAAGCCTAAGAGAAAAGCTATTGATTATAAAAGCCAACGAATTACCAAAGACCTATTCAAAGAACATTGAATGAAAACGAGAAGACAAAGAAAACAACACTGAAAAATTACAAAAGAAAAATCAAAGAAACAGAAAAGAAAACTAAAGATGGTAACCAACAACGATCTCATAGTGATGAAAGACCCCAAGGGGGTAATAAGGCCCATTGTTATTATCTCTTAAGTTTATGTAATTAAGGCCCATGGCAAGAGTTTTTAAAAATTGTTATGTTTATTTCCATGCTGATTTCTGTGTTACTATTTATCTTTTATTCTTACCTTAAATAAAAAAGCTTTCTACTGAACCACGTTTTTTCAATTTTGTTGATATAATTCCTGAGTTTTTTAGCTTTAAAGTTAGGTGGGCCTTATTCACATCAGGCACCTTAAGTTTTATTTTCGTGAACATCATAAGTTACAGGTGGCTTCTGACGCTGCATCATTTCCAATTTCGTTTTGTAATACTCTTGTTGTAAAATACTTGTTTGGTACTGCTGTAATAGCACTAGACGTTGCAGTTCTTTTGTAGTTGGTTTCCTCAGTTTCGTATTTCTCTGTTGCTAATTTTCCTTTTGGTGGCAATAGCTGCTGAATTGGTCACTGCGCTCGGTATATAGTTCACTTCCTCCTTCTTGAACACTACCAACCTGAATGGCACCTCTAATTTTCCCAATTGTAGGATTACAGTCACCTTCCATAGCTTCCAGCAACTTTCTTTCCCAATCTAACAATTTAATTGCTTTGTTACGAGGTTTTTTAGATCTGATTTTTTCTTCAATCTTGATTTCATGTTGTTGTTTTTTTTTGTCGCTCAAGATATAAATACCAGTCAACTTTTTACTTCTTCTCGGAGGATATCCTCGCGAGTATAAGGTAATCATTATGAATATGAAAACAAGGATATGCATAAGTATAAACTTCTACCTTTTTCTCCGAAGCAAGAGCTTATACTTTTACATTATGCTTCCGAGGATATGCTTCTCTTTTATGAATACGGCTTAATTAGGTTCATGGGCAAATATATTCTGTAATGCAAAGCTATCTATCAAAAAGGCCCCATGTAGTGAAACTATCAAAATCGTACAGTAAGGGAATGTATGTCAAATGTGGTGTACCTCAGGGTACAGTGTACGGGCCCCTCGTCTATTCAATATCTATTTGATATATTCAAAAATAACTGTGTCGTCATAATATACTAAGTGACATATAAATCCGAACACCCAGTTTGAATGGTTTAATAAAAGTTGGTGAATGTATTATTTATCTTACTGTAAATAACAAGTGAACAAATTTTTAGCCTTATCAGTTGGACATTCCGGTTTTTATACTGCTTATTTTTAATTCACTAACGCTCTAAAAATGAATATTTCAGCCGCAGTAAAGAATCAACGTTGGCGGATTATCGGTTACGATGCCTAGAGTACGGAGACCTGTACGATTTCGTCAACTTAGTGAGTTTGATAGGGGCCGTATAGTGGGACTTCGGGAAGCTGGACTTTCTTTTCGACCAATTGAAGTTAGAGTGCAAAGAAGTGTAGACACTGTGGTTAGGGGTTGTCAGGCAAGGCTTCGAGAAGGCCGTACGCAAAGAGCAAGGGGCACTGGACGCCGCCGTAGAACAACAGACCGTGAAGATCGCCGCCTAAGATTATTGGCCTTAAGGGACCGTTTCTCCACTACCAGGTTCATTGCAAATGAATGGTTTGCAGAACGGAAGACCTATTGGCATGCGAAGTGTTTACCGACGAATGAGAAGTTTTGGCTTGTTTTCATACCGGCCACACTGGGTCCTCCCTTTAACTCGAGAACACCGACGTAATCGCCTTGAGTGGTGCAGACAACGGTCACTCTGGGATCAGGAATGGAACAGTATTGTCTTTAGTGACGAGTTTCGATTTTGTTTAGGCATGCACGATAGTCGTGCCAGGGTTAGAAGGCGACGTGGTGAAAGGATTAATCCACAGTTTTTTGTTGAAAGACATGTTCATCACACTGTTGGAGTTATGGTTTGGGGTGCTATAGCTTATGGTTCCAGGTCACCTTTAATCTTCATCAGAGGTAACATGAAGGCGCAGCGTTATATCCACGAAGTTCTAGAACCGCATCTTTTACCCTATCTTGACACCCTGACAGATCCAACTTTCCAACAAGATAATGCCCGACCACATGTTGCAAGAGTCACAATAGACTTCTTTCAACATAATGATGTCACATTGTTACCATGGCCACCAAGATCTCCCGACTTATCCCCAATCGAGCACGTGTGGGATATGATGGGTAGGAGATTGCTCAATTTGCAACGTCCTCCTCAGACTCTAGTAGCACTTCGAGAGGAGTTGGTGGTTGCCTGGAATGAGATACCACCTGATCAGAAGCATGCCTAGGCGCGTTGGGGAATGCGTAGCACATCAGGGTGCATCCACACATTATTAAAGGTCAAAGGGCTTTGAAGCAGTGCAATCATTTTGAAATTTTTATCATTTACTTATTATGCTTCATTAAGTACTTATAAAAAATTTTATTAAAATAAAACCATTTAAACTGGGTGTTCGTATTTATATGTCACTTAGTATAGTTAGTTTGGGCTGATGATACGGCAACACTATGTAAAGGGGAAGGCTGGTATGATGTAAAAAGAATAATTGAGAATGTTTCATACGCAAGATATCTACCCGATGATTCAAATATTTCCTTCAAAATAAACAATACAAATTAAAAAATTGACAGAGTGGATAATATCAAATATTTAGGAATTTTTTTGGCCAACATTTAAGGTGGGACATTCATGCAGCCTACATTTTGAAAAAAATTAGGTTTATGACATACAAACTGAATTCCCCACAGGCAACATACAACTGATCCATGCATGTTGTTATAGTTCTTATACTCGCACAGGGTAGCCGATATTTAACTGAGTGGTTTGTATCTTGAATATTTGTGAAATTAAATAAAATACGTCCATTTTTTTCATCTTAACCTTTTATTGGAGCTGTCCATCACTTTTTGGTAGGTTTCAGGCGTGCTCGAGTTTAGCAAGAGTTGTACTGATCGAACGCTACATTATCAGTCTCATTACTTAATTTACAGACCTCGTACCATCTATGTTGCCATGTGAATAATTTTGTTATTGTTAAATAAATTGAATAAGGCGAAGAATCTAAAGCAAATATTTATTAACGATACAGCATATGAATTACTCCAGCTTAATCGATAATTTCAGAAGATTAACATAATAAAAAATGGTCACGATCAAACTCGGCTTTTCTAAGTAGCTGTCGCTGTTGGTTAACAGCAGCAAATATCTGGTTAAACAATTGAGGTACTACTCGTAGGTGATGATGAGTTTTTCAGTAGATCTGTTTCGTTCTCTTTTCGTCATCTTTCTCTAAACGACTAAACCTACACCGTACTGACGATCGATAAAAAGCATGGAACAACGGTGTATATGGTCGGTTATGGTCGCAGGAACAGAAAGCAAATATATCCTATTCAGTCAGTTCTTATGTGCCATGACGTATGAAGTGCTTCCCCCCTAACAAAAGTAGGATATATTGGAATGAATATAAAAGATGGTATATCGATTTAACCCTTTCGTCTAATAATACAGCTTAGCAAAATGCGTTATTCGTATAACCATGCCTATCTTTCTATTCGTACCATTGGAGTTAGTGAATACGATCCACTAACAAATTATGGCGGAGGGAAAAACCAATAGCTACAATGCGCTTCTATATTACTAGAGAATGTTTTAAAAATATAAGAAATCTGTCCAAAAATATTATGGCGTCTCTAAACGAGCAATATTTTTAAAAAAATATTTTTATCTTGCCTCCTTAAATTTCAACCTATTAAAAAAAATTATATTGAAAAGTAACGGAGTTATTTAATAATAATAATAATATATTTATTGCCCAACAGATTCATCCATTTAAAGGACACAGTATTTTTAACTACAATCATAGCTCGCCCAGTTTCTGAAAGAAACAAATGAATAGCTACACCTACTCAACTACATGTCTTAAATGCTATAAATTGAATAATAGTAGTCGCTAAATACAGCTAATATATCTTTGACTTTAAAGCGAGAAATCTTCCGGAAATGCGGGACGGTACATGAAAATCAATTTTAGCTAATAAAGCTGAAGAATCAACGTCACTGTGTAGGAGTTTGTAAAGGAATTTTAAACTATTACAAACTCTTCGCAGCTCAAGAGGATGCATTTCAAATCTGAGCAACATCGCTGATTGGGATAAACACCATCTAATTTGAAAGTCAAGTATTTAAGAAATCTCCTCTATAAACTTTCAATTTCATTGGTATAGATTTGGTAATATGGATGCCATACACTAGATGCATATTCCAGGTTAGACCGCACTAAGGTGTATAAAGCCTTCAGTGCCGTTTCACTACCAAACGATTTACAGTTTCTTATCAGAAAACCGAGGTTTTTTATAGCGGATGATACTACTGTACTAATATGGCCTGTAAATTCTAATTTAACGTCAAACAACAGATCTAGATCTCTTACTTCTGAACAACGCACCAACTGACACCTTCCAGTGTGTAATCAAAAACTACTGGATTCGTTTTCCTGGTAAAAGAACAGGTTTTGCATTTGCTAACATTCAAAAATAATTTATTAGTTGAACGCCATTCAAATATATGATTCAGGTCAGCTTGCAAGATTAGTCAGTCATCAATGCTGTAAATCTGAGCATGTATTTTTAAATCATCGGCAAACAACAGAGAAGGACAGGTTAAGCAGTTATGGAGGTCATTAATAAAATAAAGAAAGAGAAGAGAGCCTAAATTTGATCCCTGTGGTACACCGGATGAGGCCAAGTAAGGTGAAGATTTGAAACCATTGTAAGAAACGTACTGATTTCTATCATGCAAGTAAGAAGAAAGGAAATCTAATAAATGATTGCTAAAACCAAAATGCTGAAGTTCACCTATGATTCTTTGAGAAATCCGTATAGACCACATCCGTCTGACCCCTATTATCTAAGAACTCTGCAATGCGAGGTCAA